AAAATGTTTACTGTGCCAAAGGTAAAAAAAAGTCGAGCCAGACTTGAAAGAATGATCTCCTTTTCAGTTTCATAAGCTGTCCATTTACATCAAATAATTCTAAAACAGTATTAACTATTTGTATAAACTTTCTATCGTTAACAAAGAGATGAAATGTTTTGAAATGTACGTATTCGTATATTTAGTCATGTGCGTATTCCTGTCATTTTCGAAATATCCATTTAATTTCGTTATTTACAACGAAACAAAGAAAATCAAAAATGATGAAAGTGTGTATAAATAGAGGACAGAACTTACTTGTGGAGTATCTGGGATCAGGGTTGGCGCTGTACCACCCTGTTGCTGCTGCACTATTCCGCATGCTTTCCTGGTACGACGGGAGGTCTCCCATGTTGCCAATGCTTCCATTGCAGTATCCCCCCATGGCGCTGTGGGAGAACTGGGAGACGGTGTGCGGCATGTGGTACGTGGTGGCCACGGAGGCGTTGTGGCCCATGGAGTGCTGCTGCATCCCGGTCTGAGACACCTGCGGCTGTCGGTAGGCTCCCAGTGGAGAGGTTAGGTTCCCTGCGCCGTCCATGCCACTGAACTTCTTGTAGGTCTCCTCGATTGGACTCAAAATATCTGTCACTGAAAAAGGCGTAGTGTGCTTTGGGCTCAACGACATGATTCAGAGAGCAGGTAGATTTTTTTGTTTGAGCAGATCAACCGTGTTGTTGTATCGGCTCTCTCCTTGGTGGATGTCTACGTAAGAGAGTGCTTGTAGTGCGCCTGAGATCCTATTGATCGCCTTCGAGAAGGAGGCGAGCCCAGGGCGCTCTTAGCCCGGGTTTATTGGAGCCAGGAGCCAGGTTTACGACAAACACAGGGGGCGGAGCGAAACTCCTAAACCAGCAAACAATAGTCATTGACATTTTAAAGGAAATAGTTCATGAAAATACACTTTGCTCTTTTGTATTAAGTCGCATTACACGGACACAACGACGGCACATATTTATGATTCCGTCCTTACAACTATACACAGGTGAGAATCAGCCATTATGTTGTGCGCATCAGCTGATCTGACCACATATGAATATTTTGCGTCAGGAGGGAATTCCACTCTTTCTAGAAACTTTGAGAGCACTTTGAACAGACATGAGGGCCACCGAGTATCATCAGAGGCACGATGAAGTTGTATGACCAGCTCATTTATGCTTCTTAAGCATCATTTTGCCCCAGCAGAGAGGGACAAGTCCAAATATGCTCAGAATGCGCAAAGGGAACGGGAATAGGGATCCAACCTGTAAGTATTGCACTATATATAACATTAATAATCAGCAGGGGAGGGCATTTATAACACACATGATTTGTGTTTATATTTTGACCGCCAAATAAATTAGAAGATTAGAATTAGAAGCTCAATATCTCATATAAACCTCCATCCTGTATTGTATAACTGGGGGAGGTGAATAAGCCCTCAAAGTCTCTTTAATAAACTTTTAAAGGTCAGTTTAGCATAATATTTATGTCGTTATGTATCAAATAACGGAATTAATAATGATAAAAATAAAAATAAAAATGTCATACTTTTTCTTTCTTGCATTTCTGAGAATGTATACTCAAAATGCTCACTTTTCTTTGTGTCATTAGACTTAATGCAATTTGGAGACAATATTGCGTGTCCCAAAGCCCCTCCAAGTCTGGCCAACATGCATTAATGACACTTTGCAGTCTTGACCTGTCATTGTAATCTCTGTGCAAACTGACTGGCGCCAGGGGAAGAGTCAGAGGAAGAGAGACACAACAGAGGGGGGGTCACAGGAGAAAAGAGGTGCTACAAATTGCAATAATGACGACCAGTTAATATAGCTTTCCCATTATAGGCTAACGTGCGTCATGCACGGATCTATCGAATCCATATAGTTTATAACAAGAAAAATAAAGCTGTTATGCTGCTCATGAATCGTGATGATGGCGATGATGCTTGTTTGGATGTTTTTTTATCATCGCCATCATCAGGATCTTTTGCAGCAGACAACAGCAGCAGCAGCAGCAGCTCATTTTTACCCCCCAGTCAGTGCCACCATCTTCCTTCACTGTGGAGGAAGAAGGCACTCCTCTGCATGCGTAAAGCCACTAATGTAATTTAGCGTGGCGTGGCACCAAGTAGCTGCCTACCCTAATTGAACAAATGAAGATTGTGACATGGTCAGCCATCAATTACGGCGAACACACCGAGAACACCAATCTCCAGTGAAGTCGATAGCCTGATTCAAAATCATTGTTCGTATGCATATTTCAGGAGATGAACTTCTTCTCATTTTCCCCACTTCTCCTCCCTCCTTCCTCCCTCAGATGCCTGGACTCCGCAGCACATTTAAATGTGAAGTGGTCGAACCTTATTGTTGTTGTGCCAAACAAAAAGGTACGTGCGTAAAGTTGGATGGGGTTATGTGAAAGACATTTAAAAAAAACACGAATCCCCCAAAACAAAAAGAGGCTAACAGATGTAAACCAAATGTGAAAATATATTTCTGTCAAAGAATAGATAAATTAAGTCATGAAATACAATGTCTTAAAAAAAAGAGTAATATTTCCTACCTGGAAATTCAATTCTTCCGTGCGCCCCTTCCACTCTCTTGCCAGCGGCAGCATGGTGCCTTTTCAGGGCGCAAAGAAAGGTAGGCCTCGGCCCCAGACCTCTAACATTATGTAAATGAGGCGAAGCTCTCAACCTTGTGGATTACTGAGTCAGAGAGCAGGACCCTGGTCCACAGACCCTCCACATTAGGATCCCATAAAAATCTGGAGCTGGCCGGCTGCATGCGGCGCTTTCTGAGAGATAATATTGTCCACAGTGAGATATAGTTGAGTATGTAAGTTAACTTTTACATGCAGTGAATTTGACGCGGCCATGGCAGCTGAAGCGGGATAAACGGACGCGCCAAGGAGCTCATGAAGAAGGCCCCTGCCAAGGTTAGTTAATAAACCTCAGACCTTTACAGAGAAATCTTATTCAAATAAGAAATAGTTTGCACATGTTTCTGTTGATAATAATCGAGCTGAGCAGTTAGGGGTGTATTTGCTGGATAAAAAGCGTATGCGTAATTTAGCCTTTACGCTCTCTCGTGCCGCCCGAGGGAAAGAGTGGGGACTTGGTGGAAGCTTTGCGAAGAAACGTGCATTTTATTTATCAAAACGATGCAAAGATACGACACTAATTTGCGCTGTAACTGTTTTTAAAATTCTGCTCTTTGACTTTGTACAGATCAACTACTGCTATTGTCAAACTTTCTCCATAACTGACCATGGAGAACATTTCACAAGCTTTCAAAGGGCACTTAATTACCAACATACACACTGAAATCTAAATTTAAAAGATGTAAAACAAAGGTTCCATTATCAGATAAGATGCAGTTGTTAAATCATATGGAGATTCTGTTTCTACTTTTCCTACACAGTGTCCATACGCTGTCATCGGACTATTTATGTGTTATTAACCCGCTCATAATAACAGTCTATTCTGCTAGTTTATATCACACAGACAACCTTTCCCGATATCATCACCCCCCTCAGCTCAGCACAACACAACAGATGGAGCAAAGCGCCTGGTTACTGGAGTGCTTTTCTCCATCTCGTCGTTACTATAGTTCAATACCCTGAGAGATGTGAGGAGATGGCTGAAGGGCCGGGGTCCTGACCTGCCACCCCAACCACACACCGGCCGAGTACAAAGTGCAAAAACATGGGGGATTATTTCGTCTCGCAATCCACAAACCGCAAACTTAACTTTTTATCTAATTGTCTCTGTGGCGCGAGTAAAATTTACACAAACATCAAACATGTGTAAAAGGTTCTTTTAATTTTCTCTTCACAGTTGGGATGATTTTTCAACAAGTGAGAAAAAAAGACCAGAAAATATGTAGCCATTGACATTAAAGATTAAATGATGAATGACAGTGTGTTGCTATCACAAAACGTATACCTGTAATGAATGATTTGTGCTTTAGTTTGGCGTGCGTAAATTACGCACGGTCATGATAATCTCTTTTCTTTGTCTCGGGCCTCTCACTGCGATTTTTCTGAAATGTTTTGGGAGTATTTGTTATCAGAATAATTTATAGAAAATGATGCCCCTTGGGTATGACCATGTTTCTTTGGAAAGAAGCAGAAACGTATACAGTATATGTTGGTTAATATCTCTCCGAAAACGGATTAAGCAAGAAACTGCCTCCTTAAGGAGCGTGATTTTAATCTCTAAATATCAGGAAAAACATAATAATATTCAATAAGAAAAGAAGCTAAATCCAGGTGAAGCTCTCCAGTTCTTAAATTATAAATAGTTGGGCTGGCAACAGAAAAACGCAAATATTTGTTTTTATAAACCAAAAGCTAAATGGACGATTTATTACTGTTAGTAAGTAAAAATGAAGCCAACATGTCTGATTCTTTACGTCTTTTCATCCAAACTATTGAAATATTTATTGTGCGTTATTACGCACGAAATACATCATGTCCATTTAGTTTTCCGTGGAGCTGAAGCCTCATTCTGAACCTTCCACATTGATACTGAAATCAACATCACAAATTGATCGTTTCACTTCCTCCAAAACTTACAATTCACACCACATCTGTGCAGTGGCCGGCTCTCTGGATTGACTCGGTCTGGAAACATTTTGTGGAGGAAATTCCACACCTGCAGTCAGTGTAGTGCCATTTAGATCAAATACTTTCTCTCCTCTTAAATCGCCGAGCAATGTGAGAGTAAAAAGCGGGCAGGTGCATATCTTTCAGCTGCACTACTTGAAACGGTGCGGTTCCTCGGCTAAGTAGGTTAAAGGTCCTCCCAAGTGGAGAAAGTATGTGACAGCCCTCTTGAAGACCGTATTCTTCTGCAGGAGTTTGCATTCATTCACAATTAATGTCGCTTGATGGACGAAATGATGCTAATAGGGCGCCAAAAACAGAACATGGGCTTGCAGATCATAATCTGACAGCTAACAGAGATCAGGAGATTCCAAATATTCAGTAATACGATTACAGTGTGGAAGTTACTCTTAAAGTTTCACAGTAAATGTGCAGCACTTCATTTGGTTTATTATACAGTTAAGGTTGCAAACACTGGGAACTGATGTAGGAGTAAGGAGCTGTGTCTGCAGCAAATCTGTTCCCACTGGAAACAGTGTGAGTGTAAAACACACAGTCTGTTAAATAACTGGAAGAAGCCAAAGGCTCCGTGTTAAACTGCCCATGTCACCTGAAAGAAACAATGTTCAGGCCATGAAACACCACAGAAAGATATCTGGGCTAAAACTAAAAACTGAAGGATGATCCAAAACCATTCACGACAACATGAAAACCAGCTGCATGGTATATTTTATATAACTTAGATAACTTAACTTGAAAATGTGACTCTCCATCAAGTAGCCAAACTATTGAGTCAACTCCAAACAACCCAAAAACTTTCATGTTGAGTGTTTGATGAGTCAATTATGAATGTTTTTATCTGTTCAACAGTGAGAGGAAGCTGGTGTCATTTCTTTGTGTTTCACAAATCAATACACCAATCTGATCAGCTGTCTCTCAACCTGCGCATACAGTACCTCTGTGTTTTTTTCTTTCGTGAAATAACTTATGTTACAAGGAGCAGGCATTAAGATAATGAAATTTCACAGTGCTGAACATGAGTCAGATTTTTAATTAGAAGCTGATTATTCACCCCAGACATAAAACTCTGATATAACCCTTAATCCTCTTTTTTTAATCCTTTACTTTAACTGGAGAAAGTTAAACTCAAAGAGTCTTTAATA